TTCATGATCTGTAAAGAAGAATCTTATTCTATTTTTAACACTAGCCAATAGCCTTGAATACTATGAATCATCCTGAATACTATTACTAGATAAGTTTATATTCGATAAGTTCATATTTTGAATTTTGATTGAAGGCTTCTTTTTAGATTAACTCTTTTAAATAGCATCTTCATGAGTAATTTAGAATATGTCTCCCACAAGAGATTAGTAAAAGAGGTTTTCTTATATTTTAGATAAGAGGACTGATACGATTAAACAAACAATTCCTAATATACCACCTGTACTTGATAGTGCATCTGAGATAGTGTAAACTTCTATGGATGTTGTTAAAATATTGTCATCTAGTAGAATGTAATATCTAAAAATAGTCTAATACTTTTTATAGTCTCCGAGGGATGATTCGTCAGCTCTTATAGAGTAGTAAGTTATGTTTTCTGAAGAAATTTGATTTGATAATGGAGATGTATTCTTAATTAGAAAATTTTAGCCAAGTTTTATTATAAAAGCCTAACTTAATTCTGATTTACTAGTTGCATAGAAATTTTTAATGATAGTTTTGACTGGATTCCCTTCTCTTTCATTAACATCAACAAATTGGTTGGAAGTTAATAGGTTTAGTTCAAGAACATCTAAGGCTTTGATTATATCAGAATCATTGGCGCATTTTAAATTTGGCTTTGTTTTGTTGAGAATAGATTAATTGCAACCGCCAACAAGTACTTAGATATATCTAGCTTCCTTTGTTGCAAAGCCTCCTTATAATGTTGTATTTAGTGTTGTTGGACATTTGTAATTGAATTATAGACCAAAGTTATCAGTTTATACAGTTTCACCCAAAAATCTACCTGGAGGACATTTATCAAGAGGTAAATCTTTCACATCCATAGTGTACGAAGCACCATCTTTCGACCAAGCAAAGTATACTTCCTGAAGTTATACTGATACATATCTATCAATATTTGCAGTAATGATTGGATCAGATGAGAATACATTGTAAGCTAAATCAAAGTTAGTTAAATCTATTTGGTATTATCTCCTGTCCTCAACCAAGTTTCTTCTATATTAGGAATTGGTAATATTGCTTTTTTTATCAACCACTTTCATTATCTCAAATACTAGAAATACAATTATTCCCATTCTAAAGAGGATGGTTATGAAACCTCCGAAAAAAGTTTTGAATGTGCTATTATTTTTGTATCTAAGAGAAATTGGGTGCCCAAACTGATCTTATTATCTTATATAGCCAGCTAACACTGTTCTAAAATTTCTAGATTTATTTTGCATTCCGAATTTTACAAGATAAAAGTAATTACGTAATTAAAAATTTTATTTAAATTATCCTCAATTTTGTCTTCGTTTTTCTTGATGGGGTTTTGGGGTTTTGGGG